GGCAACTGTGTCAAACATATTGGGATACTATGAAGTTAATTTCACCATGTGGTATGGTGATGGCACTCAGTCGTAACAGGTGATGTTCTTAGTGGCCTCAGCCCCACTTCTTGCTCTTTTACAGACACATCTAAAGGGATGAGAGTCAAAGTAAACCACAGTTTTTCACTAGGATGTGACAGGAAAAACCAGTTATTGAAGGTTGCAAACTCTATCATAAGGAGGACCATTTCTGAAAGCAGAATTTTAATAGGTCATTTTTTTTGTCCCATCTTCATACTCCTTGCCTGTGTGTGTGCATGTGTGTGGCCATGTGTGTGTGTGTGTGTGTGTGTGTGTGTGTGTGTGTGTGTGTGTGTGTATGTTGTGTATATGTTTAGTACAGGTGCATGAGTTCATATGTATGTTCAAAAGCACTTGGAAGTATTTGCTACTGTGTGAGTAGGACAGAGGTGAGCGTCAGTGTCTTCCCCTGTCACTATTTTCTGACACACAGGGTCTCTCCTAGACCCTAGAGCTTGTCTAGTACATTAGACTGTGTGCACAGGGAGCATGACTGATCTGTTTCCATCTCCACAGAGCTGAGACTGTAGGAATACGAAACGGCTTTGGTAGGATTTAACATAGTTCCTGAGGATCTGAACTCAAGTCGTCTTGCTTGTTTGACAAACATTTTGGCTGGGGGAGTCCCTCCTTTGACATTAGACAGGGGTTGGCATTAGGAGTAGGCTTCACGGCTGGATTTTCATCTCAGCACATTTCCCATGAGCCTAGTCTAGTCCACAGAGCAGATGGTTCATTGATCCTAAGTAGTCTATCCGCCATTGACACTCTTTTCCACAAGCAGGAACAACTGGCATCAAAGTGGCACTTCTGTGCTGTGGAGTCTGTAGGGCTCACGAGAACCTGAAATGTAAATACACCACACATGTCTGCTGTCTGTGGAGGTCAGAGAGGGCCTCGGAGCCCCTGGAAATGGGTACTGGAAGAGCAGCGGTGCTTCTAACTGCTGAAACTCTCCAGTCACTTTCTCCAGGATTGAAGCTTTGCTTTATTTTCAGTTGACAAAGCTGTACATACAAATGCTGAATAATGACCAAATCTGCATAATTAGCACGCTCTGCACTTCAAACCTTGATCTTTCCTTGTTGATGATAAAAATTCAAAATCTTATTTTCTGGCATTCTTGAAATGAACAATATATTATTGTTGGCTGTAGTTATTCTTCTGTGTACTAAAGTTCCAGAATTAACTCTTCTTATCTGACTGTGACTTTGAACCTCTTAGACAGCTTCTCATCTGTACCTCTCTGTACTCCCCAGCCACTGAGAACCAACAGCTTTCCACTCCTGTGAGACTCACGTTCTCAGTTCTATGCGCACTTGAGAGCATATGGTACTGATTTTTGCAGTGTCTGGCTTGCTTTCCTAAATATAATTTCTTCCAGGTTCATCCATTTTCCTGCAAATTTCAGGATCTCCCTTTTTTAGAATGGCTGGTCAGTCCCCTGTTGTGTATTTACACATTTTCTTTATTTGCTCCAACTGTAAGCGCTTGCGTTGTTTCTCATGAATGCTGTGGTAAGCACTGGAGGGGATGACAGCTGTGTCTTCAGGAAGCTGATCTCATTCTCCGTGGATGGACGTCTAGTAATCGGTGTGACAGAATCCCCCTTCGTCCTCAGCAACATTTGTTACTTTTGCTAGTAATCGCCCATCTAGCTGGGACAGGTAATACTTGCTGTTTGGATTTGCATTTCCTTACCAGTGAGTGATGCTCATGCAGACCATTTCTCAGGCACTTGCCGTGCTAGTTAGGCAGCTTCATTTGAGAAGTGTGTATTCTGGTGTTATGCCCACTTTTCTTGTTGTTGTATCAGACATAGAGTTTGCAAATGTTTTCTTTCTTTGGGTTTTCCTTCACACTGTTAATTATTTTCTTTGCTGTACAAAAGACTTAAATTTGATGTAATTTCCCCCCAAATTTTGGGCCTTGTTGTCTGTGCTTTTGAAGTCTTATTTAAAAATACTGGCCAGGGAGATGGATCACTGGGCGAAAATGCTCCCAAGCCTGTGGCCTGAGCTTGGTACCGTGGCCTACATGACGGGAGGAGAGAACCAACTCTGACAACATGTCCTCTGACGGGCACACATTCTCTGAGGTATATGAACGCACACACCCTTTCTCTTAATGTAATAAAAACTTAAAAAACCCTTGCACAGTTAATTTCGTGAAGCATTTCCTCTATTTTTCTTCAGCTGGTTTCAGGTTTTAGTCTCATATTAATCCATTTTAAGTTGATTTTTTTATGTGTGATGAAAGACATGGAGGTACTTTGATTCTTTTTGCATATAGATATCCTGTTTTTCTAGTAGCAGTTATAGAAGAAATTGTCATTTCCTGGATATGTGCTCTTGGTGTCTTTGTGAAAAATCATTTGGCTGTAAACGCGTGGCTTTATTTCTGTGTTCTCCATTGTGTTTTTGTTTTTTTTTATATGTTTATATGGCAGCATTACTCACGTTTTTAAAGTCAGTGGGTGTAATATCGACACGCTTACTCCTTTACTTGTTAGTTTTGGCTATTGGAGGTCTCTTGTGGTTCTCCTGTATGATTTTTGGAAGAAACATTTTTATATTTCTGTAAAGAATAGCATTTTGGTAGACTGCTTCGGGTACTGCGGGCACTTTAACAGTAGTGATTTTCATGGTCTGTAAAATGGAGCACTTCCTATTGACTGCATTCATCTCAGTCTCTCTTCAGCACTTAATAGTTTGAATTGTAAAGAGTTTTCTGTCTTGGTTGAAATTATTTTTAGAAAGCTTACTGTTTTACTGTTCATTTATTTTGTAGCTGTCACAATGGAGTTATTTTCCTGTCAGAAAACAGTTTACTATTAATGTACAGAAACACTGCAGATTTCTGGATGCTGATTCTTTTTATCATGCAATTTTACCTAATTTATAAGTTATGAATTTTTTTGTAGAATATTTATGAGGTCTTTTTTTTTTTTAAAAAAAAAAAAAAAGACCTCATATTATTTGCAAATAAGGAAATTTGCCTTCTTCCTACTTTGGATGTCCTTTGTTAAAATGTGATGTTTTTAGCGCAGTATAAAAATAGTACTAGTGTTTGCGTTTTTATCTTTTCTATTTTTTCTTTTGTGTAGATGGATTGTTTTTAGTACATAATTTCAGATTTTACTTAAAAATAATAAATTTCCTTTATAAACCTAGCAAGAAATGTGGTAGTTTTTGCTGTATGGCTCCTAATTGAGAAATGGTCACAGGATTCACGACCATGTGTGGCAAGGTCAGAGGAATGGTTCCTATGGTGTGGAGGCTGGAGTGCTTTTGTAAGTCCTTGGGTGGTCTAGCTGGATTTCCAACTTATAACAATCTTCTCTGTCATAGGATGCCTTGCCCAGCTTGTGCAATGCAGCCATTAAAACCAAGCAAACCTGTTGCTCAGCCACTTCAGTCCTGTTTCCTCTTTATCCAAATCAAGTTGCTTCCATGCAAACATGACTCAATAGATTAAAAAAAAAAAAAAAAAAACACTTAATGAGAAGGATTGTAAAAATTTCTGTAGACTTGTTGATTATAAGGAAGAAAGACTACATTGAAAATACACTATGAGCCGTTTGGGGCTCAGAAGTCTCTATTATCTTGATAAAATTCAGGTTCAACCAAGATTCTCTCTTTTCTACCCACACAGCTTCCCACAGCCTCCTTTACCAGTCAGTCATCCTAGGACTATGCCACAGGTGGTAGGTGTGGCACAGTCACTGGCACAATGCTGGAAAAGATGCTCCGGCTTCCTACCAACTTAAAGGCTAGGTGGGTTGTTCTACTAGGAGCCAACGATTCTTTGCTGTCGTTTGTCTAGTTTTTGTTTTTGCTGAGGGACAGAAGGCGGGAAAGAAAGTGAAGTCTATGAACCATTCCAACAAGAGATCCTTTTAAGCACTAGCTTGGATTGTTTCAATTTTCTATAGTTTTAAAACAACGAACTGGACAGTCAGCCATCTATTTTCCTTGAAGTAGGTATTCTGAAAAAGAGGATTTATTTTTAGAAGAATGTGGACACAGCTAACTTGGAAATCAGTTCCAATATGCACTTAGTGCATTAACTTGTCAAGAGTTAGCTCTGCAAAGAAAAATAGAACCACTGTGAAACCCCAAACATGGACTTTAAAATGTCATTTTTTAATGAGAAGAAAAGAAATCGTTCCCATTTCCTTGGGCAAAATCTATCTGTTTTTATAACATTTCAAAGACCTGAAACTTCCAGGGACTGCAGTCACAAGAACTGCTTTGCTGTCAAGTTTTTGCATTTGATTCACTCTGTGTTGAGAGCCCACAGCTACTTCACGACATCGTGAGGACATTTTAGGGCCCAAACCATGTGAAGGTTACTGATCTTACCTATGTCACATGGAATTACTCCGTGGCAAAAGCTAAGGGAAATGGAGTCCTGGCACTGGTCCAGGTCCCCTACACTGTCACCCCGGGGACCTGATTTGTCTCTGAGTTCTATTGTGTCTTGCTCCATGTGTGGGCTGCCTCCCTGGGGTATCTTGTGGTTACAAGTGTTTCAGCCTTCCCTGCACACCTCAGGAGTGAAGAGGACCCCAGTGCCATGCCTAACCAGACTACCACCAGGCCAAAAGCCTTCTCAGAAAGCTCTAGAACACAAATGTCGTGGTCCAGCCTCAACCGAAAAAACAAAACAAAACAATAGGTGACAGGTATGGAGCCTGCTGTGTGTGCTGTAGGTCAGCCAGGCTAATATTAGAATTTATTATAGTCTTTTTTTTTTTATTTTGTTTCATTTAAGACGAGGGTCTCATGTAGCCAAGGATTACCTTGAGTTTTTGATCATCCTGCCTCAAGCTGAGGTTGCAGGTGTGCACAACCCTCTATCGTACTGAGGCTCTTGAAGACGGGGCCTTGAGCGTAGGAGGCAGACACTCCACGAATTGAGCTATACCCCCAGCCTATATCACTTTTTATTTGTATCAAAACGCATTAAACAATGAGTTCTCAGATACAAAAGAGGACTTAGTTTTTGTACCCACTTCTAGTATTTGTTCACAAGCTAAGCAAGCACACACCCAAGTACATTAAACATGTGGATTCTGAAGGCCCACTGTGTGCAAGCATGGAAGTCATTATTTTAGTACCAGAGACACAAGAATTAAGCTACCAGTCTAGATGGGGGACTAAACACATACATATGTATGTGCACGCATATATTCGTAATATAAAACCACCACAGAGATTAAAACAGATACCTACAAAGTGGGTCTACTTCATTCTCTAATCCCCAGAGAACATAGTTTGCAAAAGCACGAAGGCCTGAAATGCAAGCTAAATCCCTGGAGTGTCCAGGAATCACTGGAATTTACAGCAGAGATTAAGCATAACTTCCGTGCTGCCATTGGCCAGCCATCTCAGCTGCTTCTTGCATTCCCGTCTTAGTTCCGTTTCTGCCTCAGCTGCCGGGCCACAGAGCTCATTAGTGCCTGGCCACCGAGGAGATTTCTCACCTGCTTGAAGAACAGGACCCTGTTCCTGAAAGGAATACAGCTGGTGCCCTGTGTGTCTATTACTCCTCAAACAAACCCATAGGGCCCAGTCCCATCACTCCCTCCATTCATTGAGCTTTATTCCTGAAGTATTCGTGGCTGTTTTCAAATTGAATCTATCCTTGGAGAGTGAGGGTGGGCTTGGAGAGTCTAGGGTGCTCAAAGTCCTGAAAGGCATCCTGAGCTAGATTTTGAGAAAGGCCGATTGACAAATTTTTAAGATGACTCTCGGAGGGATGGAGAGATGGCTTAGTAAGTTCAAAGTGTTTGTTGCTCTGCAGAGGACTCAGGTCTGGTTCCCAGCACCCACACAGTGGCTCGCAAACCATCTATAACTCCAGTTCCAGGGGATCTGGAACTCTTCTGACCTCCTTGGGTACCAGGCACATGATGCGTTTGCATACACGGCGACAAACACTTATACGCATGAAGTGAAATACATCTTCAAAATCAATAAAAAAGTCATTGAAGATGAATTTTCAGATGCACAAATTCTGGCGTACTTAAAAATAACCTACACGCAGGCCACATGTCCGTGGTTGCGTATGCCTGGGAGGCTGAGGTAGGAGGATCACTTGAACCCATGTGCTTGATGCTGTGATTCACTACACTCACTGAATGTCAGGACAGAGTGCTCATTAGTGGGAGCACGCCTGGGAACAGCCATGTACTGGAACCTGGGCTACACACAGAGACCCTGTCTTTAAAAACAAATTCACACTGTTAGCCTTTTAGGTGTGATAATGACATTTTGGTTATGGTTTTTAAAAAGCCATTCTTTGAAGAGCTATGTACCATAATAATACGAATAAAATCACATGGATTTTTTTTTAAGTCATCAGTGAGAGGAGAGAGTAGTATATGGGGAGTGTGGGTAAAACATTACTTACATGTTTATAGTTACATGGGGTTCATTATTCCAGGCTATTTTTTCATATGTTTGAGACATTCAACAATAAAAGTGAAACAAGTTTGCATTATAGTTACACCTCAATTTTGTACTTGATTCTGGGAAGAGGATAATTGTTTTCATGAATATAAAGATACAGACTACATTTTAAAAGATCACTTTCATTTTTGAGATTATATTATAATAACACCATTCCCCCCTTTTATTTTCTCTCTCAATATTCTCCTATATACTTCTTCTTGCTCTCTCTCACATTCATGACTTCTTTTTTTATTAATCGTTGTTACACTATTTCAGCTGTGTCTTTATTGTTTTACAGCCTCTGTATAAACACTTTACAGACGAATATTACCAAATGTATATAAATGTACTATGTGTTTTCTTTTCAACTACAGTGTGTTAGAGGTGGATTTCTTATTTCACTTCTTTTACAGCTTGCCCCTTACAAGGGCCTGGGGCATAGCTCAGTGGTACAGCAATTGCCTCTCAACCACAAGAGAAAACAAACTAACCCTAAGCCTTCTTGGACCATGAAGTACTCATCAAAGATGTTTTTCTATCATCCAACTTGTTGGGCTCAGCAGGGAGGGGTGGTGCATGCCAGTGATCCCAGTACTTGGGAGAGGGATTCAGAAGGATCAGGCATACAGGATCATCCTGTACTACAGGGCAAGTTCAAGGCCAGCCTGCACTGTGTGAGATCCTGTCTTAAAAAGCTGAACAATCAAAAAAAAGTGTTTGGCCGGCAAAGAACTCATACCTCAGTCAGCTGGAGGCCTCTAGGCTTTTTAAGCACTCTGTTTTCAGAATAGTAAGGTGACTCAAAGAGCTCTAGAGAGAGGAGCACAGGGCGCAGGGTGGGCTCACGGGTCTGAGCTCCTCAGGACCTCAGACATTCCTCAGGATTGAATCTACAGACATTTGGATGGTCCTTCGGTTCAAATCAATGTAGAACTCACAATATGTACACTCTATCGTGGGTTTTCCTTGCTCCAGAACCAGTTAATTAAATATCCCTAGCTCTTTACTTTTTGCTTTATAAAAATCACCTCTACTAATATCAACTTGTATTTTCAAGATGGTTTCCCTTTTGGTAAACATTTCAAGAACATGACCTAAGGCTGCTTGTATCTGAATTGCTCAAGGTGCTTATTAAACATGCAGATTCCTGTCCCATACAGTAGTGTCTTGAATCAGAAGCCCTGGAGAAGAAACCTTGGAAGAGGTTTCTTGGGCATGTTTTGTACTGAGAGCCTTTGGAGAAGTTTGGCCGTGAGTGGCATGGCCAAGAATACTAGGTCACCACTGTCCTTACCAGTCTTCTTTAAAACTGTATTTGTTGAGGTAACTGCTGATGCCACAACAGCTTCTTGTGCTAAAAGAAATCTTACATTTTGAGGTGAAAAATTTAGAAACAGTAAATATTAAACTATCAATTCTAGGACAAAGGAAACTGGCAATATACAGAATGAGGGGCCATGTGCCAGGGCACTTCTGTGATGGCGTACATTTGTAATCTATCACATTTGTAGGCCTAGCACTTGAAAGGCCGAGGCAGGTAGATCCACTTTATACTGAGGCCCTGACTCAAAACAAGACCCGCAATGAAATAGTGAGATCCTTTAAACACAGGCCTGCTCTACGAGGTTTCGGGTCCTCTCAGCAGTTTGCTTTTTCCTTGTAGCACTGGAGAAATCCGTTTTGACAAGTCATGCAGCATTAGGGCAGCGCTCCAGACTGCTACTGTAGATGAAGAGATATAGAGGCCAAAAGTGGGTTTTGTTTGTTTGGTTGTTTTGGTTTTTCTCGACACGGTTTCTCTTTGTAGCCTTAGCTGTCCTGGAACTCACTCAGTAAACCAAGCTAGCCTCGAACCCTCCTGCCTCTGCCTCCCGAGTGCTGGGATTAAAGGCCTTTGTCACCACTGCCTGGCCAAGAGGTGTTTTAAGGACATGGAATTCTGGGTATTCAATTTCACTCTGCAGTAGTTTCTTTCAGCTCCCCTCGAACCCCTCCGCACCCCACCCCACCCCCCACTTCCCCATAGGCCCTTTCTAACTCTAATCTGACTTCGGTAGATTCTGAGCAGAAAGATTTATGGAGTCCACTGAGATAGTAATAAATGAGCAACAAGACCTCTTGTGAACAGATGGGTTCCTAGTTTGCTCTTATAAACTTGCAGGAAATTCTAAAGTGGACTGTAAACTAATGCACTGCATTTTGTTTGTTTGTTTGTTTGTTTGTTTGTTTAAGAGAAGATCTCCTTTAGGATGTTTGACCTTGAGTTCAATATCTAGTCAAGGATAACCTTGAACTCTTACCCCTCCTACCTCTACTTCCAGAGAGCTGCCTGGGTTAACTGATGGGTCATTAGAAAAAAAAAAAAAAATCGAACTGTCTGTCTCAGGATTGTTGGCATCATTCTGACAGGACAAATAAATTGAGGGCAGCTTCTATTTCTTCCTACTTATGTAGCAGGTTTTTTACCCCCCCCCCCTCAGTATTCACTTAAATAATTAAGCAGAAAAAGATAGAGCTCTAAAACTGAGGTTGGATCGTGTCTCAATTTAGAAAAAAAAAATAAAAATACCTACAGATACTTGGCCTAATTTTGCCAACCACAAGTTTCCATCTAGGTCAATTATAGAGATAATTAATAACATTTATAGAGATATTTAATAACTCCTTACCAAAATGAAAATGTATCCATGTTGCCTTTTTATCAGTGGCATACCAATAATAATATAAGTAACTCAATCTAGAATTGTGTGTGTGTGTGTGTGTGTGTGTGTGTGTATGTGTTACTGACTCTGGGGCTCTCTGACCAGGCTGGCAGGCCAGTGAGCCCCTGTGGTCCTCCTGTCTTCACCTCTCAGTGCTGGGATTACAGGTGTGCAATGCCACTTAGTAGCTACATGGGTGCTGTGGATCTAAACTCAAATTCTCACACTTGTGCCTCAAGCACTTTACTCTCTGAGCCATCTCCTTAGCCCCTAGAATAATCTGTGTGTGTGTGTGTGTGTGTGTGTGTGTGTGTGTGTGTGTGTGTGTGTGTGTGTTGAGACTGGGTCTCTTTACATAGCCTTGGCTGTCCTGCACTCCATTTGTAGACCAGGCTGGCTTCGAACTCAGAAACCTGCCTGCCTCTGTCTTCCTGAGTTCTGGGATTAAAGGCATGCGCCATTGCGCCCAGCTTTGTAGAATACATTTATACATAACCCTGTGGTCACAGGGATTAAACATTATATAATTTCAATTCATAAACTTTTATGATGATAATTAAGATAATACAAAGAGTGTCAGGAATTAAAATATAGAACAGAGTCAAATTCTTTGATGGAAGTAGAACAGAAATGAGTTGAAGGAGAGAAAGGAAAGAAAAATCTCTGATTAGAGAAGCTTGTATAGATGATTGGATATTAGATCCCATTATAAAGATTTTGTTTTTTGAGACAGGATTTTTCTGTGTAGTCCTTGCTGTCCTAGAATTGTTTGTAGACAAGGCTGTCCTTAAATGCAGAGATCAGCCTACCTCTGCCTCCTGAGTGCTGGGATTAAAGGCATGTGTAACCAACTATGCCTGGCTCATTAGATAGATTTTAAAAGTACCTTAATATTTTATTCA